TCTTCAAATATACAACAATTTCAAGATCAATCTCTCTACAATATAGTTCATACACATACTCTACATGCATACATATCAAGGTTCAAATTTACTTTTCAATAATTTAGTCCCTATCACATATAAGCCATATCAAAAAAAATTATGGGTAATATATTCTAGGACCTACAATGAGCTTTATTTTTCATTTCTCTTAGTTACCATTTTTCTTTGTTCTTCACCCTTTTTCCTTCATTAAACACTTTACTTTATTTTTTTTTTGATCTTTTTCTTTTTCTTTTTCTTTTCTTTTTCATTCACAATTTAACACCCCCAAACGTATTTTGTTTTATGCTAGGTAGTGGGGTGAGCAAAAATTTTCGGCATTTTTCTCAACAACTCCACCTTTTCTTTCTTTCTTTCTTCATTGCTTAACTTAATTACACTCCTTAAAATGATCTATGTATATAGGAGTGACAGGTGTTAAAGTGGAACTTATTTAAAGGCTAAAGTTAATTTGCTATGTGTTTAACAAAGAAAAGGAAAAAACTTAGGTACAAAGAGGGGTGACTAAGGATAATAGTATAGTAAGGTAGGCTCGAAAAGCTTAAGTGATCCAAAGATTACCTAAGTCATTTTTCTAACTAAGTGTAGTCTAGGATTTTTTCTCCAAAGAAACTCAAACAAATTCTAGAACTCTAAATTATAATAAAAAATTACGCTCACATAAACTATTTCTAAATGTACACAATCATTCAAAGCAGGAAACATGTGCTCAAATTATGGGAAAATTACATTCTACAACATGCTTAGCAAATGTATTCAACATAATACTCAAACAATATTCACTTTCACTAAGAGCTCAAGATACAAGATAACTATTTCCTTCATTGGATAAGTGAACAAAGAAAATGGTGCAACTAACTATAGTTAATATTATTTTTCACAAAAACTTGAAGCAACTTGAAAACTAACAATTTACTAAATGTCAACATTCAAAAACATTAAAACTCAAGAAATAAAAAGCAAATCTTAAAGATAAACTCCCTTCAACTTAAAGCCAACATTATCCCAAATGTTACTAAAAGTAAGGAAGAGAATACTCTTTTGATCTAGTCTTCCTCTTCCTCCTCCTCCTCCTCCTCATCATCAGTTATGGGATCCTTTAGCAAGGACAAAAAAGTGGCCATGTCCATCCCCATATGTAGTGCACAAGCTCGCAACAACTACTCTATCGCCTTCACACACTTTCCATGGTGTGCCACTTTACGTTCAAGATGCACTAGTCTTTGATGTATGGTGACATTCGTACGGCGTGGTGGAGGTTGTGGTACAAAAGATGAACTTGCACTGACTACTGATTGCTCATGAGTGCAAAACCAATGAATGATGTCGGCATTTAAAAGAGCTATCAAGTGCAAAAGTTCTTATTTTCGGTCCATGGGTACAACTTGCTTGCACAATGCGGTGATGAGCTATGGGTACTAAAGGCCATCCTTAGTTGAATGAGTAGAGGAAACAATATTATTGAAAATCAACTGACCAATGTTAATGGACTTACCTAAAATGATGGTATAAAGCAACACTGCTCTATCCTTGCTTACATTGCTAAGATGCTTAACTAGAAGCATTTTGGCTGCAATGAAGCAAAACCAAACCTTGTAATCATTTTTCATTGCACTAGCCTTGAAAGACATCGAAACCCCCTTGGATGTTTTCCATTTTGTGCCTACATTGTAAAGTAGATTAATGACTTCATCAAGGTCCACATTTCCATTCCAATATTAACCATACTCATCATTCTCAATCTTCGGTGTGTTCTACAATCTATTGATGGTCTAGCTATCAAAGGTACTTTTTTCCTCTATCGAAAAAAATAACATTGTTGTGCTCGAAGGCATTCGCATAAAATTCATGCGTATTACTGATATAACTATTACCTCAAGTTGAGCACAATAGTTTTCCGACTTTCTTTCTTCAATGATATTTAAAATATGCCTATAATGAATGGAAGGCACAATAATGCCTTTTTCTAGCATCAGAGACTTTTGAATTAATGATTGAGTATGGTGCTTAAATGCCTCAGCTGACACAAATTTTGTTGAAAGGAATCCACTGCTCCTACTAGTCCTAGTCCTTTTTGATGCTATAATAACTCAAACTTAAAACTCAACTTAAAACTCAACTTAAAACCACGAAGTCCAATTACACAAAAAATCACAAAAAAATCAACAAGTATCTCAATTCTCTCCACAAACTACTTCAACAATTAGAAAATCACCAAGAATCACTAAATCAACAACAATCCATAATATAATCCCCCAATTGAGAACTATTCACTATTATCAATAATCAAATTCTCAAAATCCACCACAAAAATCACCAAAACTTTAAGCATAATTAACACAATATCAAAACTATTGAAAACCCATCATTAATTACCAACAAAACTCTACCAACATAATCAATTCTCCTAAAAACTAAAATTCTTGAAGATTTGGCACTTACTTGAAACAAAAATCTGCACTTTGATGGAAGAAAGTTGGCAAAACTCCTTGAATTTTGTGTTTTGTGGAAGAAACTTGAGTTTTTGGAAGGTTTTATGAATGGGTTTGAGAGATTTTTGGTTTTGGTAGAGAAGGAATTGAGAAATTTTTAGCTAAGAGGGGAAAAGAGATAGAGAGCTTATATAGCAGGTGACCCCCTGACCTAGCATGACACTGCTAGGCTTGTTGGAAAATATATGCAGCATCCATGGCACCGTGGTGCTAGGTGCCTAGTGCCATGACACTAGGGGTGCTATGTCTTTTTTTTTGTTTGAATAAATAAAAGAGAAAAAAATATTCATAATACTTGCAAAAGAGAAAATACAAAAAATTAACAGATAAAATAAAATTAAAAAGCCAAAATTATGAATTTAAGGAAACATAAAGAAGATTATTAAAGGAAAATGATTAAGTGTAGAAAAACTTGGGTTGCCTCCAAAAAATGCTTTTTTATAGTTACTAGCTTGACTAATTCACCCAATGTTTCAATGCATTATGCACAACATACAGCTTAAGGCTTAGTCCATTAACCATAAGCACTCAAGTGGCCTCACTCTCTATCTCTATTATCCCACATGGGTAACATTTTGCTGGTCCTCAAGCAAAACTCTAAAACCAAAAAAAGAAACATGAACATCGAAAACATTAAACTATAAATCAGTTGTACTAATCCAAAAATCACTTTTAATTCCTCATAAGCCATCTTATTTCCTCAACATCCTAAGCAAAGTATAAATATTATTTAAGTTCACATTTCTCTAAATTGCAAGCTCATTATCAAATGGAATCCCGTGTATATTTTCAAATAGTTAAGAGTTTCATATGTTTGCTCTTCACCTTTCTTTGCACTAATGTAAGGACTTTATTAAGCTTGTAATGTATCGCTATGGTCAAGATAGGATTTAAGAAAATATGTAATTGAAATCACCCTAAGCACATAATCATTCTAGAACTTATAATGAACTTTATTTTTTATTTCTCACAATCACCTTTTTTTTTTCTTTTTCAACCTTCTCATTCTTCAAACATGTTATTCTTTTTTATTTTCATTTTTTCTTTTTTTATTCATTATTCAACACCCCCAAACATGTTTCTTTTTAATGTTAAGTGGTGGGGTGAATCCTACATGGCCTTTAAATTTTTTTTTTCTCCACATCTACCTTTTCTACCTTTGTTTTCTTTCTAGCTCACTAAACTCCCTAAAATGATTTATGTACTTAGGAGTGATGGGTGTTAAAGTGGAAATTTATTGTTTATTTATGTATTTTGGTTAAGGCTATTTACTATGTGTTTAATCAAAGATAAGAGAAAATTTAAGCTCAAAAAGGATGATTGAAGGATAAAAATATAACACAGTGGCTCGAAAGGCTCAATTGGTCCAACAATGACCTAAGTCATTTCCTTAACTAAGTATAGCCTAGGATTTCACCTCAAGAGAAGTTAAAACAAATTCTAGGACTCAAAGACTTTATTAAAAAATTTACACTTACATAAACATTCTCAAAATGAATACAATTATTCAAAGCAAAAAAAATGTGCTCAATATGGTGGAAATTCACATTCTACAATGATGCTGAACAACAATGTTCAACATAATACTCAAACAATATTTACTTTTAGTAAGAGCATAAGATAACAAGACAATTATTTTTCTTCATTGGATATGTAAATCAAAGCAGCTGTTGCAACTAATCATCAAAGCTAACATTTTCAAAGAACAAAAACTTGCTAAACTTTAAAATTAAACAACTTACTCAATTTGAAACTAATAACATGGAATGGAAAAAATAAAAAGCAAAGTTTAAAGTTTTAAACTTCCCCTCTAAACTTAAAATTAACATTATCTTCAATGTTAAAACATAGAAAAGAGAAGTCAAGAATACTTCCCTAAATAGCAGAGATCCTCTAATCTTCCTCTTCATCCTCATTATATATAAAGTTGTTGGAAGAATCTATTAAGGTGACAAAAATCTAAATAAGAAAGGAACTTGTCTATGGGAAAATCTAAAAAAATAACCTCAAGTAAAAACAATAAGAGTTTCAAAAACTTAGGTTGCCTCCCAAGATGTGTTTCTTTATAGTAACTAACTTGACTATGGCACCCCATTTTTCAACTCATCATCCATAACATATGGCTGAAGGCTTAGTCCATTAACCATAAGCGCTCCAGTGGCCTCACTTTCTATCTTTGTTATCCCACATGAGCAGACCTTGATCACCTTAAAAATACCCAATCATTTTGATTTACATTTCCATGAAAATAGCTTAAAGTGTGAATTAGAAAATAATGACACTTATTCCTCAGCCTTAAAATCAAGATAAGTTGAAGGTGATGGCTCTAAACCAAGGACTGATTCTTGTTCCATTGGAGGAGGTAGAGTGGGCTTACCTTTTACCTTTATCAGCTAAGTTCACTCTATAACAATGATTTATGGATGAAGGGTACTTAGCGTCATTGAAAATAGTAAATTCAACTACCTCTTTTCTAACTCTGAATGTTATTTTACCTTCCTTGACATCAATGGTTACGCTTGCAATTGCCAAGAATGGACATCTTAAGATTAGAGGAATTTCCACATCCTTTTCCATCTCAAGCACAAGAAAATCCACTAGAATGTACAAATGCCCAATTTTAACCAAGACATCTTCTATAATCACAATGGGATGCCTGATTGTTCTATATGATAATTGTAAGGTAACTATAGTAGGTTGAATGTCCTTAAGTCCAAGTTTTCTAGCAACAGAAAAAGGCATCAGTGAAACACTAGCACTTAAGTCACACAAAGCTTTAGAAAATTTAGAACTACTAGTAGCACAAGGTACAAAAAAACTCCTTGGATCATTAAGGTTTGGTGAAAGCTTATTTTGGATAATAGCACTACACTCTTTAGTGAATTCCACTATCTCATATTCATCTAGTCTCCTTTTATTTGTCAAGAAATCTTTCAAAAACTTAACATATGAAGGCATTTGCTCCAAAGCTTCAGTAAAAAGGATGTTGATGTAGAGCTTCTTGAATACCTCTAGAAATTTTTGAAATTGAGCGTCCAACTTTTTCTTTTGGAAGTGTTGAGGAAATGGAGGAGGAGCATGTGTTGCCTGTGCATCTTTGACCTACATTTGCTTGTTTGACTTGATAACTTTTGATTCATTCTCAATTTAGCTAGTGAGGGCCGGAATGGAATATCGTATGTATCTTTTGTGGCTCTTCTTACTTACTACTCTTGCCAACCTCTTTCCCACTTCGAAAGGTTACTGTCATAATAGGTTTCTTGCCTTCCCTCTTAGGATTCGGTTCAGTATTGCTCAATAGGGTCCCTTGAGGCCTATTGTTGATAGCATTGGCTAATTGCCCCATTTGAGTCTCAAGATTTTTCAATGAAGCTGCCTAACTATGAATAAGGGCATCTGTCTTAGCCATATATTGCATGAGCAGCTCCTTTATAGACTACTTCTTTTCTTGCACTAAGGGTCTAAATTGTAGTGAAAAACTTGGTGAAAAGCTCGATCTCGGAGTTGTTAAAGACCCATGATTGTTGTTTCGAGATAAGTTAGGGTGATTCCTCCACCTTAAATTATAAGTGTTCAAATATGGGTTGTTTTGCTACCTATTTCCCATAAATTGAGCAGACTCTATACTCATAGGACAATGATCACTAGAGTGCCCATCACCATAATAATCACAAGTAATAAAAAGACTTTGTATTGAATGCACTCCAAAATAATCAATTTTCTTAGTGAAAATGGCTACTTGAGCAATCAATGCATTAATAGCATCCAACTCATGAACACAAACTGCCCTCTTTGGCAAGGCCCTCTTAAAATGCCACTAATAGTTATTTGATGCCATCTCTTCCAACAAGTCATAAGCATCATCAATCAACTTTGCCATAAGAGCACCACCAATTGTGGCATCAATGGTAGTTCGAATTGGATTCAACAACCCATTATAAATGTTTGCACTTGAAGCCACTTGGGTAGACCATAGTGTGGGCATCTTCGAAGCAAATCCTTGTACCTGTCCCATGACTTATACAATGACTCAAAGTCTAATTATGTGAAAAATGTAATATCATTCCTCATCTTAGCTATCTTGGTAAAGGGAAAAAACTTGGCTATAAACTTTTGTGTAAGGTCATCCCAAGTAATGATGGAGTCAATAGAGAAAGAATTCAAGCAAACCTTAGCCTTATCTTGTAGTGAGAAAGGAAATAACCTCAAATGAATGGTGTCATCAGTAACTCCATTGTACTTAAAGGTGTCACAAATCTCCAAGAAGTTTGAAATGTAAGAGTTTAGATCATCATTTGGGAGGCCTCTAAATTGAACAGATATTTTGATCATTTGAATGATGGTCAACTTAATCTCAAAATTGTTGGTTTGAATTGCTAGCCTCCGAATATTCTAATGGAGTCCTTGAACCAAAGGAATCACATAGTCTCTAAAAGATCGATTATTTACCGCTCTATGTTTTTGCACTTGCTGTTCTCTGGGATTTTCAGCCATTGTCTAATATTGATCGAAGTCTTGGGAGTTTTGTCTTAGTAATCTTTGAAAGGTCTTCTTGATTTTTGGATCACATGGTACTAGTTCCAAACTACAGACTTTCTCATACAATGACTTTATGTACTTGAAAATAAAAAGAAACGAAGCTTGAATTAAGTTTAACTTGAATTGGTATTAATATTAACAAAAGAATATAAAAACTCGGCAATGGCATCAAAAACTTTTTACAGGCTTAAATCCTATATGATTTTAAACTAACATGCAATCTCATTTGGTAATTTTAAGACAACAAACTCTTCATTTACCCATTCATCAAATTCGAATTCCATAGCTAAAATCATGGAGATATTCCTCTTATTTTAAATTGCCTATTTATTACTAAACTCCCATAATGTATAAGAATCTATTTCCTTAATTTATGAAAAATTTTAAAATGATTTTGACTTCAATAAAATTAAGAAACGAATTCCTAAATTTAATATGTCAAATTATTTTAACTTGTCAATTTTGTAAAATAATTTCCATATCTTATAGGAATGAAATTCCTTATTTTGTGGTAACTTTCAAAATCCATTTTGATTTGTTTTATTTAAAGAATCATATTTCTTATTTTTTTAAAATCAAAATTTACTAATTTTATGGAACTACTTCCATAAAGTATCTGATAATCAATTGATTTTTAAATTGTATTAAATTAAGATGCAAGATAAGGCAATTCAAAATGCCAAAACCGTAGCATTCAAACAACTACTTGCAGCAGTTTTATTGACCACGTTTCTTGGCCATTAAAGTGGCATAAAATTTTTGGATTTTATCCCTTATCTTAACCCTCCAATCAGCAAAGGTATGAAGACCCTTTCATCATCATTAGCATCAATTTTGGATGCCTTTTGCTTGTTGAAAACAAGCAAAACCGCTACTCAAATTTTGCTATTGTCAGCGGTGGTTTGTCACGATTTCAAGGCTTCATGCTTACTTTGTGGTATAGTTTTCAGCCACACTTGAAACATTTTCAAAGAATATCAACTGAATATCATTTTGCAAATTTGAGAATTTTTAGGATTCATTTGCTTACTGAAATGATGGAAAAACTAAAACTAGACAAAATTAAAGGCTATCCTTAATACTCATATCTCCATTCCTCCATGAACTCGAATTTCTTTGTTGATTTTTGTGCATCTTATGCACACTTTAATTGCAAATTATTGACATTAAAACATGTTTAATGTTCATTAATAAGAATGTAAAATTTTACAAAATAAAACTATTTAGAAATATCAAACAATTTCAAAACAGAATTTTGTAAACTTCAACTCGCCATTTGATACCCAAACCATCACATCTATGTCAAACATAGTATTAATAACAACAAGACATACCTTTGCTTAAAACGAGACAGGGGAAGCTCTGATACCATTGCTAGGAAGGGCATGATTAAAGCATCAACACAACAGATTAACATAAATTGAAACAAAAGAAAAAACATGCCTCCAACCTTTGGATTACCCTGGTTGTTTAATGCAAAGTTAAACACCATAGAAAATCAGAAAAGGGTTTTACCTTTCCAAATGATATAGCAATCAAATGGATTCCTTTTGGTGTTAAAAAACATGAACACTTTCTTGTGTGAAAGAATCTCAGCCACTTAATCGTTTGCCTTTTAATGTTGTACACACGATTGCAATAGATCTTTATCAAGAAAAGAGCTTTATCCCACGGGCATGTGCTAGCAAGTGGACAATAATTTGTCCTCTTTTCCTCTTTGATTTCTAGCAAAGAATCAATGGAGAAGTTTTTTGGAAAACCCTCTCAAAAGTGGGCACTTAAGAGAAAAACTATTAATACATTAATGAAATATTGCAATTGCACAGAGTCCCAATCACTACAGTGTCAGATCAGGGCACATAATTTGCTAGTGGATTTTTTAGGAAAGTTCAAAAGGCCTTGGGATCAAAGTTGAATTTTAGCATTGCTTTCTATCCATAGACAAATGGACAATTTAAGAAGACTATTCAAACACTAGAGGATATGTTGAGAGCTTGTGTTGTAGACTTTATAGTTGCATGGGACTAGCACTTGCCATTGGTTGAGTTTGCCTACAATATTAGTTTTCAGTCTAGTATTCAAATGGAGCCTGCAAGGCTTTATATGAGAGGAGATGTAAATCACCCATATGTTGTTTGAGGTCAATGAGTAGTAGTTACTTGGACTGAAGATAGTTCAAGAGACCATCGACAAGATACGATTGATTAAGAGAGGATGTTATCGGCATAGAATTGTCAAAAGTCATATGTCTACCATGGATGTCGAAAATTGGAGTTCAAGGTTGGTGACCATGTGTTTTTAAAAGTCTCACTAACCAAAAGCATTGTACGGTTTGGAAAAAGGGCAAGTTAAGCCTAAGGTATATCAGACTATTTGAGATTCTTGAAAGGGTTTAACACGGTGGCTTATCGATTAGCACTTTCTCCAAATCTTGTTAGTGTCCACTCGGTATTTCATGTTTTGATACTACGATACTATCGACTGGATCCCTTCCATGTGATTCAACATGAGTCTGTGCAACTAGAGAATGATTTGAGCTATGAGGAGATATTGATAGTTATTTCAGATAGGCAAGTGAGGAAGTTACGCTCCAAGGAGGTAGCTTTGGTTAAGTTGCAATGACGCAACCACTTGAGCAAGGAGGTAACTTAGGAAGTTGAGAACAACATGCGCATGAATTACCCGCATCTATTTCGCAAAGGTTAGTATGCTATTTAAATTTGAAGATGAATTCCATAAACGGGTAGAATGTGAAATCCCACCTTTGACGTACAATGATAAGTTAGGAAATCCTTAAATGAGCATATAGATTACATTTTTTCAATATCAAACTTAGTTTTAACCTTTAAAAATAATTCATTGACACTTTGGTCATTTGTCACTTTTGAAACAGAAATTTTTAAGTTTGGAAAGGATCAAAATATATGATTTTTATAGAACAATCTTTTAGAAATAAAAAATGACGGTAATGATTCCCTTGGTATTTTGATGACCGAAAATGATTTTTCTATAATTTTGAAGCACGCTTGGTATGGAAACTGGGAGTCACAAATTTAATTTCACTTGAACTTTTTGATTTTATTCTTGAAACCAAAATCTAAGTTTTGATTCTTTTGGATTTTGATTTTTTTTTATTGAATCCAAATGTGGGGGGTTGTTTTCTTATTTACATTAAATATCTTAAGTATATGGAGAGTAGAAAATAAAGAAGTAAAAATGCGGACATTTACTTAGCTGAGCAAGTTTTTAAGTCTGTTTTTGCTGACTAGAGTATATCTATCGATAGATGTTCATCATTTATCAATAGAAAGCTTTTTAAAACATTCCCAGAGCCTATCTATCGATAGACAACTCCCATCTATCAATAAATGATGTCAATTTCTAAAAAGAAATGAGGGCAAAAGGGTATTTTCACTTCCTAACTTATAAATATCCCACTTCCAACAAGGGTTATCAACCTTCATCTAATTTTGAAAGGTAATTTCTAAACCCTTAGCCCTCTCTAACCCACTTTTACTCAAAAACACCATTTTTAAAAGATTTAAGCTTGGTTTTGGGTTTTAAATGAAAATATGATATTTTTCCCATTCTTGAATCTTTAAATCCTGGATTTTTTATTCTAAACATATGGTTTATTGTTCCAGAATTATTGATGCTTGCAAACCAAAGGATTTGGGTGGATTTTCTCACTTGCTAAAGCTTACTTAAGGTAAGAACGTTGATTTTATGGGTTTATACGAATAGCTATTTTCATAAGTAGTAGATTTAGTCTAGAAAAATTAGTTTAGGCGAACTTGAATAGTTTCA